TGGGAACGATTAAAACCGACAAATTTGTTGCGAGAACACCACACGCTGATCATGACGAATACCAGCCACGAACTTGACAAATTACTCCCCCAAATGGGGTGTGATACGACACGACATGATATGGCGCAACAGGTGCCGGTGTGCCGACTGCAGCAGCACCCGGGCCAGTTCGTGGTCACCTTCCCCAAGGCGTACCACGGGGGCTTTAGCTACGGCTTCAACTGCGGAGAGGCGGTCAACTTCGCGGTGAGAACCAATGAATGATGATGTGTTGGGATACCTGAACAAAGTCATTCGTTGGTACTCCCTGAGCGACAATTCGTCGGATGCCCGTAGACAATCATTCGACAGAACCCCTTAAACAATCAGTCGTCGGTACCCTTTTAAACCATTTAATCATTCATCGGAACCCCCTTTGAACGATAATTCGTCGTACCACAACCCCTTAAGAATTGGCATTTACATGACCGTGGTTTTGATGTCATCGTTTCGATGGCAGGTGCCGGACTGGATCTCGTACTCTAGGGAGAGCACGGAGGCCTACCGCAGCGCGAGCAGGATGGCGGCCCTCTCGCACGACAAGATGGTGGCCACGCTCACCATGTACCTGCCCGACCACGATGTCAAGGGGTGAGTGTGAGCATGCGTCGCACGTCGGCTGCTGTCTGTCATACAGCGGTGCGACGAGGCCGATTCCGTTTATTTATTTTTTGCTTGCAAATCGAGTGCATATATGCGACTATTATATCTGTAGATGTGAGAGAGAAGGGCTAGCTATGTATCATCATACAGCAGTGCCAGAAGGAGTTCTATCTTGTTGTTTTGTCTTTTCTTAGCACAAGTACGAACAGAGAGGAAAGTGGTGCACGTTCACGGACGTGTCGTTACATACTCCCCCCAAACACTTAAGCCTGCGGTACCGTACACACATCGACACACATTGCCGAGGTGCTTATTTTTTTCCCCCCCTCCTGCAATTTTTCAACGCAAAAGGTGCGAACTGGTGGTGCGCGAGCTGCGCCGCATTCATCAGGAGGAGCTAGAGCACCGCGCGAGGCTGGAGATGAAAGGGGTACAGGACCCCGCCCTTCAAGGGGTGCCATTGCCAAGGTTTCGGCTGGGCTATATCGACAAGGATACGGAGGAGTACGACGAGAGGGTGAGAGCCAGGGGGGGGGGGGGGGT